GATAGATCTGTATCGCTTAGCCTATGACCTCTGGCAAATTTACACACCTCTCTGGGCTTCAGTTTTCTCCTCTGTAAAATCAGAATAAAAAGAATTGGTGTGAGGATTAAATGGTATGCTTGTACAGCAGCACCCATCACCACATAGTAAGCAATGAGTAAGTGTCCACTATTACCATTAATGATTTTTAATTAAATCAGGCTTGGTTTGGTTACTGGGGGAAAATACTTTCCCCAGTCTGTGCCTGATCTGAAAGGGACATTTGCTACCCAATTTGAGTACACTGTCACCATGTGGGAATGCAAGCTCATCTTCTGATTTTTCAAATATTCGTCATTTTAAAATTTCTGAAATATACAGAAAAACAAAAAAAAGGTTTAATGTGAAAAAAAACTATAAACACCTTGGTAGCCATGCTCCCAGGTCAAGANCAAGGTTGGAATCCTGCAAAGTAGGCAGGTCAGAAGTATGAGGAGATGGCAGGGGAGCTGGGAACACTGACAAGAGCGATGAAAGAGACGATTCATGGATCTAGGCTAGACAGAAATGAAGCCAGAGGATCTGATAGATGGGGAGAAAGTAGACAAATCAAGGAACTCAAAGTCTTGATAGTGGAGGAATGAGGGTAGTGTGAGTAAAGACTTAGGCCAGAGCTCATGGAATGGAGAATTTCAGAGGAAGGAGAAATCTAGGTCATGCCCAAGTCTGGGATATGGCAGTGGAAAAGGGTAGCTAAAATGGAGGGGAAATAAAGGTCCTAGAATTTAGGAGAACAGTAAGTAGCAGAGCCAGAATAGTACCAGGGTTGGGATTGGGCCCGGTTTGATTTAGTCACCAAATAAACAGTCACCCATACCCTGGAAATTTGATTCCTTCTTGACTCCAGCATCCAAATATGGCCAAGCTTTATAAGTTGGCTGTATATGGGTTCCTACTTTATTCTTGGTGAATAGTAAGAGATAGTATTAGTTTAATTGCATGATGCTGTGAAGGTCTGGGGAAATTTTCAAAGTGCTTATTCTCTATAGGCAGTTATAAACCCCTGTATTTGCTTTTTCTAAACCCTACTGCCATTCTCTGCCTTTTGCCACTTGTGCAAACAGCTGATTTGTGGAACCTTGAAAGCATAAGGACCACATACTGACTTAAGAATTCCAAACAGCCGCTGTGCTGTTTCTCTGGGACCAACCTTCTTCCATCTTGTGTTGATTGCTGCCAGAGACTCTGGCACCCATCAAAAATGACCAACTTTTATTTGTCTATCCTAGGTTATCAAGGCTGCCTATGACCAAGTAAAAAAAATTGCTCAAGGAAACCTTTCTAATACAGATGTCCAGGTTGCCAAGTAGGTATATTAACTAGGGGTTTTGTGTTTCGATTATTTAAAAGTTGTATTTTTTTCTGGTTATAATAATACCATAACATATGCACAAAAGGATTGAAAGGTATGGGAAGATCTTTAAAAGGGAAAGGAAGCACCTAAACTACCACCTAAAAGCTGTAATTGTTTTGCTTATTTTCTTGACCAGTTTTGTATATTTTATACACAGTTGTTACTATGTGTATATTTATATCCTACTTAATAGCATTGTAGAAATTTAAAAACTACAAACTCAAAAAAACCAAAAATGATTTGTCATTGCCTACCAGTTATTTCTCTTTTTTTTTAACATTATGTAATGATTTCATTTCTTTAGATTACTAAAAATTTGTCATAAACAGTAGTAATTGGTATATCAAAATATATTTGTTGATCTCTGGGCTTAAAACATTTTGTATTTCATATTTCTTAGTATTCCCAGCTGGGTCAAGAATTATAAACATAATGAAAAGCTCTTTGAAGCCACAATGTATAAAGCTTGTACCAGTTTATAATCACACCACCAGTATATGAATACTATTCTATCATAACCATTAGCATTTTCTTTTTTTTTTCTTTTCCTCTTTACTGATTTGATAGAACAAAAGCAGACGAATCCCCCCCCCCTCCAACCTTATCTATGGTTTCACTTACCACATTCACATAGCTTATTTCAATTGCTACAGTTTTATTATGAGTTATTGTTCATTTCTTGCTGTACGTAACATATATAAAACTTTGTCATGGTATGTATTATAGGGAAAAATGTAGTGCATACAGGTTTGGTATCTGCAGTTTCAGGCATCCACTGTGTGTCTTGGAACACATCCCCTGCAGATAAGGGGGGACTGCTGTATCTGATTAAGATGGACATTCATGTCTCCAATTTGATGGTTTTTTAATTCCTACCATCCTCATTTAAAGTGCTAACAACACCTCTTAACTCAGCAAGTAGTTCTGGGAGTTTCTCTAAGAGAGGCAGACTTTGGGCAGAGTTGGAAATCCACTTGCATTTTCGTACAGCAGCTTAAAACACTTCCAGTTTGACTCTGCTCATCTAAGACAATTTTAAATGTGAGCTCTGAAACCCAAACGGTCTTCTTGGTCATTCAGTATTACCCACAAAGGAAGTGTGACAAGGTGAATTACAACTCAGGAGGGAACAGTCTTTCGGTAATTTTTGTTCTCATGAGTGTTATCACTTTTATTAAACTGAACAGACTAATTGCATCTCTTGAGTAAGTACAATACCATTTGTTAAATACTGTATACATGGAACTAAGGGTTGGTAGAATGCAGTTCTTTATGATTGCACCAGGAACAGAACATGATGAGCATAAATTGAAACACTGGATTTACTTAAGAAAAATCTGTCTCAAATCTAATTTAAGAAAATTATTAAGTGTAGCCATTTTTTTATGAGGTATGGCAACATATAGAAAATGGAATTTCTATTAATGTCAAGATACAGTTGGTTTTCTGCCATTTTGATGGAATTGATACTTCTTATAAGGTTCTTATGTGAGAGAAAGCAAGATATCACTGCTGGAGGGACAATCTAATACTCTCTTGGTAACGTTTATTGCAGGTAAAGTATTTAATTAAACTGACATTGTGGTAAAATTTCTGCAGTAAACTAATAATGTTTAGATGGGAGTCTTGCTGCAGGGAGGCAAAATTCAAATTAGTGCTTTTGTGCCCCTATTTAAGCTGCTGGGACTTTTGAGACTGTTGTTCTTAACACATGCCCTACCCTCAGTGAGACAAATCCCAGCATAGAAATGGATTTGGGAGGTGGGGGGAAAGAGAAAGAATCAGCACACCACATTCTGCTGAGTGGACAGTGCTGTAAGGGCCCATGGAAGTGTTTTTCTTGAATAGAAATTCTACAGTTATCACCAAAGGAGTGTCAGGAGACTGATTACTTCATTAGTCAAAGCTCCATGGCCTTAACTAGATCTAGGTTCTAGTCCAAAATCAAAAGGCAACCTGCTGGGTTTTCAGTATAATCTTGTAATGACAGCTTTTTAAATGATAATGTAAATAATAAAATAGTTGGTGAACTGAAAAAATAGAATGGAGGCCTCCAGCACTATAAGATGTCAAAGCTATTTACATATACACTAAAAGAATTTGAGAACATATTTTAAAATTGCCTTGCTCTTTAAAACTGTCTTCTACCTTAGTTATGCTCCTTTTATTGGACAGGAACAAGCTGAAAGCTGGGTACCTGATGTCAGTGGAGTCTTCTGAAGGTTTCCTGGATGAAATTGGGTCCCAGGCTCTAGCTGCTGGTTCATACATGCCGCCATCCACAGTCCTTCAGCAGATTGACGCAGTAGCTGATGCTGATGTCATAAAAGTAAGCACATGAAAACTGGCGATAAAACATCAAATAACGTGGTCCTTAATGATCCAGTTTCAGAAGGAACATATAAGCTTCCTTGGGCTATATATATTATTCTCCTGATGTTTGGGGCCTGTCTACCTGGTGTGGAGGTGGGCGGGGCCAGTACCATCCAATCTGTAAATAGCTTCCTTGTCAATTCAGGATTTGTGTCTTTTCCTCATTCAACTACATTAACATTAAGTTAAACCATTTAAATTCTTGGAGGTCAAGAAGAGTTGAATAGTTGCAATTTTATATGATTCAAACTAATAATCAAGCTTGCTGTTTTTCCTCCTCACTCCCAGTAAGTAAACTCTCTGTGCTGCCAATCCTTCACACTCCAGTTTATCAAGATTTTCTTCTGTCTTCTCAGCCTACGACATTGTCCTGTTCTTGTATTTTTTTTCACATACATTATTATTTTCTGCAAGATTGAATTGTTTAAGGGCAATTGTTTATACCTCTTTGTATTCCCTACTGTGCTTAACAAATGCATGAACTACAGAGTAAATCCAAAATCAGTAGGTTTTCCAGTCCCTTTTATACTAAAAATTCCAACTCCCCTTTTGTTGTAGAGGCCTCAACCATCTTCTCACCAACAGATCTACTTTGTGTAGGGACAGTGGGATAAGTTTTTATCTAAACTTTTAAACGAAACAACTAGCCTTTGAACTTGAAGTAGTGGCATAAAGAATACAAGGCAGAAATAAAGTTTCATTTTTAAGTTAAAATCTATGTTTTTATTGATTCAGACTATTTACCATTGTAATACACAAACAATAAAGGGCAGCCCTGTCCTTGGCTAACTGCCCTAGTTTGCAGTGTCAATGAGGTTGTCCTCATCCCCCTTTTTAACAGCTGTCTTCAGAACTCGGAACGCCACACTTGGTCAGTCACACATATGACAGAACGTTAAAAGGAACAGCTGAGTTTTTCCTCCTAAATTGTCATAAAGTAAAAGAATGTGCCAGCACTCTCCGCTAGTTAATTTTCACAGGAGGCTGTTAGGGAATTGCTGGCTTAGAATGTCCTAGCCATAAGCTCTTGAAATAACAATAACTTTATCTACTTGATAATCCTTGTTTCTATTAACATTTTGTCTTTTTTTGTTTGTTTACTTAAAGGCTGCAAAGAAGTTTATCTCTGGCCAGAAGTCAATGGCAGCAAGTGGAAATTTGGGGCATACACCTTTTGTTGATGAGTTGTAAGACTGAAACACACATTGCAGAAAAGAGCTGAACATTTTCTTAACCCAGAGCAGCAAGCTCATTGAAGTCAAAAGTCTCATATTTAATATAACACATTTATCTCTTTTTTTTCAATGAGGTGAAATATCTGAAAGCATAAATGTAAGTAATTGTTCCGGGTGACCTAAAGTCAATAAACATTCTGTTTAAACCTTTTTCTTGCATTTTTTCTAATCAGTTAATCAGCAAGTATTTATTATACACTGAGATCTTTGTTTAGATGCTATTTTAGATGAGAACAGGAATATAATAGGATAGAGAAGCATCAGCCACTACTAAAAGTAAGGCTAATAGCTCTCACTGTAAATACTTCCAGATTATCATTAACGGCTCTTTAAAAGCAGTTAAAAATCTGTCCTTGGGTAAAAGCAATTAAATGATCTGGGTTTTACCCCCTTTTTGCCTCTTTTTGTAATAGGAGTAATTTCTGAAAAATATTAATTCCCTGTTAGTTAAATCCTGTATTCCCACTGCTTTATTTTATATGTCTGACTTATTTTACTGTGACAGTTGTCTGTCTCTCATTTGCTCCCTTCTCCCCATCTGTTTATCTATGCAGTCTTTTTCCAATAATTATCAACCCAACATTCAAAATAAAAGTAGGGCTGAAAAGAGGGGAAAAAATTCTAATATGAACAACCAGCCAAAAAATTTCTCTTACTTGTTTTAAGTAGGACATTTAAAGTTTACAAAACAAGAAAAACTAAATAAATAAAAATGTAGTACCTTAAAAAGTAAAATTCTCTATTATGTTCACACATTCTGATATTGGGTTCCTCGGCTGCATTTTCTAAAAGATAAGGCCTTTTCAGAAAGGAGGGTCTTAATGATCTGAACGGTGTTACTGTTTAGAGAATAAGGTTTGTGAGACCCAAGGAAGTCTTTGGATATCACATTGGAGACGGGCTCTGGAGGCTTTACCATTTGTAAAAGATAACTGGTAAGTCTGCACATATTTCTGTAAGTATAGCAAACCTGTACATGGAATGCACAAAAACTGGATGTTCTCAAGAAGGCTCCTGTGATCACAGATTTGCAAACTACTGCCTGACTTTTGATACAGGTTGATTCTTTTTGCCCTTTTCAACTTGGGCATAGTCTTCCAGCCAAAACGCATCTGAGATCGAGGAGGCTGAGGACGAGGAGGAGCTTTCATTGTGTTGCTTCACCATAGTCCAGCAAGGAGCAGGGGCTCTCACTTCTTTGTTGTGATCTCTATGAATCATCACGTCACAGTCAATGTCTTTTCCCACACTAAGAGTTTGGTTCTTCTTTCTGTATCCATGCCATTCTTTGGAGATAGACATTGGTCTCCTTGCAGGTTGATGCCCAGTGGACTGTGGATATTTATAATACATAAGTTTTTTTTCTAAAATTACATCTTCATTTTCATGGCTGCTTGTGAAAGAGTCATCTTTTGCCAGTTCAGTTTTCTTTGTTGTGCTGAAATGAAGAGAATAGTGAATGAAATGGATTCTTAATGCCTGAACTTTGATTTTCCCCTAACAAGATGTCTTACAGCCTGCTCATAAAAGATAGGATACAATTTAGCTTTAGCACTACCTTTCTTTGTTGTTGAAATTGTTCATTTTAGGAGCCTAAGTGTAAATCAAATTCTACTTAAATTATTGCACATTATTTTTAAAAGCTTTGCACATACTTAAACCAGACTACTGCCCAGAAGACTAGCAGGCCTTAAAGGGTGGGTTAATTTCACTCCACCCTGGCCACCACTTCTGTAGAACTCTGTTCTCATGGGTCACATAGTCAGCAATAACAATATTATTGATCTCCAGAGAAGTTAGGAAATAGTAAACCTCACAGGTATTCAACATGTTAGTCACTGGTAAATCTTTGAGTCTTGTTATTTTCTTCTGAGCTTCATTTTTTGCCTCACTTTTGAGTTTACAGATGTGGATGTCTACCGAGATGTTCCTCATTATTCCACCTCTGATGTCATCCAAAAATTTTTAAAGATTTTGTTTTTTGTGACTTGCCCTAACTGCTCTTTTGATTGTTGAAACTTGGGTGATCCTGTCTGCTAGCAACTACAGGCCTCGTATAGGCCTGCCTAGAGAACCTGAGCTTGCTATTACTTTCCTGAACAAATACTGTCTGTCACCTACTCCCCTTCATCCTAGTGCTGTTGCCTAGCAGATCGCAAGATCTTTATGATTATGAATCTCTGGTACATTCCTGCTCAAAGGAAATAGGAAATCACTTTCTTCTCTACCCCTCCTAACCTCTCAGAATTATTACTGCTATCACTAATACCCTTGGAGGTGTTCTTGTTTTATTTGCCCCCAAGAATTTGAACAATTTTTCCTAAGTTTATTCCTTCTGATAATATCCAAATAGTATTGCTTCATTTTTACAGAAAGCCACTAGCTTAAATTGTGTGATTTTCTTTGGTTCTTGATTTAGGGCTATGCAACGAGATTATCGGAAGATCTCAGAACTAGAACAGTTTGCCTTCAGACATGCCTAGAGCTTTCTGAGTAGCACATGAGTGGAAAAAAAACTCAAGTTCCCTTGGTTTTCAGATTTCAAAGGGTATCCTCTGTAACTGTGTATTAGGTAACTATAAAGGACGGGGTATGGCCAGATTCCTTTTAAACTGGCATTAGGTGATAAAGCCACAAGCCAGGGTTGGCTGGAAACAGTTTTTTATGCGATTAGGCCTACCCAGAGCATTATATGGAATATTCTCCATTGTGCACACAGTTCCATTTGCTCCTGAGGAAGGTCATACCAGGTCTGTGAAAGAAGCCTTTCCCTTCTTCTGCCCGTTTCCACATAAGTTACTAAAACACCTTAGATTTAAGCACTGTGCTTAATTAAGAAAGAGATTCACAATGTGTTCAATATTGTTCCGAAGTCTGTGGATTTTAGCCTCATACTTAAGTTGTGCTATTCTGTGTCTGGCTCTTGTTCGCTTTTGAACAGTCAATCTGCCATCCTTAGACTTTAATATTCTGAATGTCAAACTCTGTAATTAAAATGCTGAGAGTATTTAATAGTTGTTCAATAAGTGAATGGGTAAGATCTCAGGTTGAAGAGCTGTGCTCCCCAATCCAGGGCCCACCAGTTATGTGTGGCTGCTAAATTTAAACTGATTAAGCTTGAATAAAATTTTAAATTCCTTGGTTTGCAAATCCTCACATATTAAGTGCTTAATAGCCACATGTGGCTATTGGCTACAACATGGGACACACAGATACAGAATACTTAAACACCATCACAGAAAGTTCTTATTGTGCACTGCCGCTCTAGAGATAGATCTGTATCGCTTAGCCTATGACCTCTGGCAAATTTACACACCTCTCTGGGCTTCAGTTTTCTCCTCTGTAAAATCAGAATAAAAAGAATTGGTGTGAGGATTAAATGGTATGCTTGTACAGCAGCACCCATCACCACATAGTAAGCAATGAGTAAGTGTCCACTATTACCATTAATGATTTTTAATTAAATCAGGCTTGGTTTGGTTACTGGGGGAAAATACTTTCCCCAGTCTGTGCCTGATCTGAAAGGGACATTTGCTACCCAATTTGAGTACACTGTCACCATGTGGGAATGCAAGCTCATCTTCTGATTTTTCAAATATTCGTCATTTTAAAATTTCTGAAATATACAGAAAAACAAAAAAAAGGTTTAATGTGAAAAAAAACTATAAACACCTTGGTAGCCATGCTCCCAGGTCAAGAGATAGAGTGTTACTGGCGCCTGGAAAAGCTCCCATGTATCCTCCTTGCTCTTTACAGGTAATGTGCTTTTATGGCTTCTTAAAACAATGCAGGAAATAAGCAAAGCACATGTGTGGGTCATATATCCCTTGGACCACAGGTTGGAACCTGCAGTAATGTCTGTGCAGTATGAGCTGTTTTTTGGTGTTAGTGAAGTCCCTGGTTGTATTTCCTTGCACCCAGCCCAATAAGCAAAGGCACCGAGCTGCAGGAACTAGTTAGTGGTCAGGAATCTATCAGAATTAGTAAGGACCACTCTTGCATCAGAGCACGTAGTTTTGTCACTAAAAGAAAAAGACTACATGTTCTACAGAGCTTGCTCATGTATCTGATCCTCAGAACAGCCCCTCTGTGCAGATAAACAAGCTCTCAAAGATTTATGTGATTTGCCTGAGCTTCAAAGCTGGACTTCAACTTTCAATCACTAAGTAAACGAGCCCCCAGCCACATGAAAGTCCTGTGGTAGGTTTAACAGAACAAGACAGACTTAGTCACTGCCGTCAAGTGTGTACCTTCTCCCATGGCAGCATAGTTGATTTCAGTTTATGTAATTGAAATTGGGTTAGGTGTTGTGAAGGAGCTACACGGGATGCTGTGAGTGCATATGACAGGAGGAGCTGACAGGGTTTAACACTTCTCTTAGGAAAGCCCCTTGGAAAAAGTTTGACTGTGAGCCTTCAAGGATGAGTAATGACAGGGTCCTAAGCATGTTGCCGACGGAAGAGCAAGTGCAAAGGGCCCGAAGCAAAGCGCAGCATAAGGCAAAGGAGCTGAAAGCCAGAGAGAAGAGGAGAACAGTATGAGATGGGGCTGGAGTGGCTTGCAGACAGCAGCCAAACTGGACAGCAAGAGCTTTGCATTTATCCTGAAAACAAAAGGTCTTAAAAGATTCTAAGCAGGAACATGTCTTGATCAGATTTGCATTGTAAAAGGATCATTCTGTGTAAAAAAGAAAGAGAGAGGGTAGGTCCCGAGAGACCAAATGGTGACTGACTGGGGTGATGATTGTGGCCAGAGGGAAGTGGACAAATGTGAGAGGCAGTTGAGAGGTAAAATGACAAGTGATTATTGGCAGTTGCAGGGAGATGGAGAACGCAATCACAACCCCAAAGTTTCTGACTTGCTCAACTAAGCAAACACTTCCCCAGTAAGATATGGCCTTCGAAGATCAGTGGTGAGCTAAGTTTTGATTTTAGGCATAATGGATTTGAGTGGTTTGAGATACATACAAATGGAGATATCAGGTGTTTAAGTGTACAAATTTGGAGATGATACAGTTTGAGAAATTCTAATATATGGATAGTAAATGAAACAGACATCAGTGAGGTGACCTAGGAGATTGAGAGAAGAGAGCAAAAGATTACACCTTGAGGAATTTCAAAATTGAGTAAAAGGAGACCAAGAAGAAATGACCAGAAGGAATAGGAAAATCATGGGAGTGTGGTATATCACAGAGGCCTGGGAAGATGATGTTCCTGTAAGAGGGGGTGGGAGACTGGAAAGCATCTAATGCTGTTCAAAAGCGAAGCAACATAAAGACTGAGAAGAGCATAGAAGTTAGCAATATGAAGGTTGTCGGTGACCCTGGGAAGAGGCCTCAGCAAGACGTAGACTGAAGTGGAGTGAAGAGTGCCTGGGACACAGCATCTCCCGAGGAAATGGCAACATCTAAGACAACTCGTCCAACAAGTTTAGAGTCAAGGGACAGGACAGTGGAGTTGTGGGGTTCACTAAGATGGTAAAGGCTTTAAAAGGCTTAGTGAGTGGGAAAGATCCAGAGAAGCTGAGTATGCAGGAGACATGGAAAATGGGATGCACAGCACACATTAAGGGCTGATTTTGGGAAAGGGGGCATGTTGCAGGTAGAATTCTTATTGGATGGTTTTTTCTTAACTCCAGGTTCAAGGCTCTTGTCTGTGTCATTTTGCCTCATATCAAGTCCTGCAGATTGTACATTCCAAAAGGATTTAGAAACCCACTAAATTATTGTGGTTTCACTAATCCTTCCAAGATCCAATGGACAATTCTCACATTAAACCAAGACCCTTCACAGACCCTGAGGGATTCTATAGTACAACCCAGATATCCTAAAATTAATTACTTACTGTGTTACTGGGAATTTGGTCTCAGGGATTAAATCATATATTTCTTCCCATTCTTGGGGTATGTCAATAAAATCTCGGTAAACCTTGATTTGTAGCACTGTTCCTATGGTGATCTGTTGCAAAAGCTTTAAGAGTTCTCGAAGAGTATATCCTAACACATTGGCATGGCCAACACTAATCAGAACATCGCCTGAGAGGGGAAAAAAATTGTCAGTAAAGTTAAGATTCATACCATTTCTGATTTTATTGTGAGGTGTTTCATTGTATGAGTTCATACTGTTACTTTATTTTGAACCAAAACCAAGCTTCAGCTTTTATTTAATAAAAATGACCATCTCAATGATGTGAGTTTCCTTTGCATAAGGAAGAATGCATGTAAGATATGTCTTAATAGCAGTGTAATGGTGCATATCACACTTTTATAGCATTTCTGAAGACAGTGGTGTGATGGAGGCTACAAGCCATTTATAATTTGAACCATTCTTCAGGACTCTAAAAATATGTTTGTTTCAAGTAAAATGAATGACTATTACTATTAAAACCACTCAGTGAGTAAATAACCTACTTTCTCTTACCTACCTGACAATTTCCGTGCCCTCCATAGAAAGTATACCATATTAAACATCAAACCTTCTGTTTTAATTTTCTACCCTTGTGCAGTATTAGTTGAACAAATAATTCTGCACAATTAGCATGCTTTAATTATGCTTAAGATGGATATACAGAGTATGTTGACTCAAAGGGATATAACAGGTAGGTCACCTACTTCAGGGCAGTGCTGGACAAGAAGGGAAGGAAGCATGACCAACAACCATGGAGCGTCTGAGCCCCAAGCAGGTGGGAAGAGAGCCACATCTTGACAGTAAGCCCCTAGACCCCCAAATTGGATGTTAAAAAAGACCCATTATCCACTGGCACCCACCTCCCTACCCCTAGCAGCTAGGGAATGACATACAAACTAGATTTAGCCATTGGGTACTCCCACCTGGGTCACTGAATCTGCAGCAGGAGATGCAGAGGAGTGACAGGAGCACCCGGTTTCCAGGGGCAGTTATACATGGCCTTTTGTTCTGTCGACACTTTCCAAGCTTGGTTCTCCAGCCTTTCTGGCAATTCTGTCAGACTCAATATTCTAAATGCTGTGCCTTAACAGAAATGTCTTCTGTTGCTTGCAATGAAGAACCCTGACTGGCAACAAGGGCTTTCAGCAAGAGAGGAAGAAACACAAAGAAGTTGCTTTTTAAAAACAGACCTTCCTGTACTAACATCCTGCCAATTGGTAACAGAAACTTTATAGCTAACATCAGATTATGTGACTCCAGTGTAGTCCCAAAGGTTGTGTTTACCTCTCTGTACAGGAAGCTAGGGACCCCTCAATTATCCTCATTGCAAGACAGCTGAAGCTTAACCTCAGAGAAGAGTCAAGATGAAGTACCTTCTCTGATGCCATGCCCCACTGCACTGTAAGGAATTATGATGATCCCACAGAAGCTGCCAAGGAATGACAAGGACAGATTTCCATAGTGCTAGATCCTATCAGAAACAAAAGTTCCCAGTATAAAATGAAGGGGGGTGGAGCCAAGATGGCAGGGTGAGTAGAGCAGTGGAAATCTCCTCACAAAACTATATATATTTTTGAAAATACAACAAATACAACTTCCTAAAAGAGAGACCAGAAGACACAGGACAACAGCCAGACTACATCTACAACTGCAAGAACCAGGCGCATCGCAAAGGGGATGCGGCTCTGCCATATTGGAGCAGCAGACTGAGGCCAGCCACGCCCACAGCAACCGCAGAGCTTAACTCCACAGAGGCTGGGCAAGAATCAGAGGCCCCATCTGTGCGCAGGTGCCCAGCACAAGTTGCTAGGGGTTACTGTTCTCCCAGGAGAGGAAGGCCACAAATCAGCAAGAAGGGACGTTCTCCGAGCCGACACATGCGCCAGCTCCGCAGAACTACCTCTATCACCATGAAAAGGCAGAAGAATTTGATACAGACCAAAATCTCAGAGTCAACCCCAGAGAAGGAGATAGACGTAACCAATCTTCCTGAAAAAGAATTCAAAATAAAGGTCATAACCATGCTGACAGAGCTGCAGAGAAATATGCAAGAGGTAAGGGATGACGTCTGGAGGGAGATTACAGAAATGAAACAATCTCTGGAAGGATTTATAAGCAGAATGGATAAGATGCAAGAGGCCATTGATGGAATAGAAACCAGAGAACAGGAACTCATAGAAGCTGATGCAGAGAGAGATAAAAGGATCTCCAAGAATGAAACAATATTAAGAGAACTGTGTGACCAATCCAAAAGGAACAATATCCGCATTATAGGGATACCAGAAGAAGAAGAGAGAAAAAGGGATAGAGAGTGTCTTTGAAGAAATAATTACTGAAAACTTCCACAAACTGGGGGAGGAAATAATTG